AATCCTGATTTTTCACAGAGAACATATTTTTCCAGTTGAGGAGTCCCAGTTGTCATTTATAGTATGGTCATGCGTTATTTTATTTTTTTAAATTTATTTTAGTTTTGTGCCATCCAATGGCCAAAGATGTATGTCCTTGGTTTTATTTAAAGTGTACCCTCCACCCTTCCTATTTCTTTTACATTGTTTTACATTGCAACCATTGTATAAATTGGCTTTTGAAGCTAAACCTTTCCATTTCTGAAAAGGAGAAGGCTTTTTAGAGCCATAAGTAGTGATCCATAATGATCCATATGAGCAGCAACATTATTAGCAGAGTTTTAGTTTATATGTGTTACATTACAGGTAGTCCCCAGGTCACGAATGAGTACCTTTCCTGAGATCGTCCTTAAGTTGAATTTCTATGTAAGCCGGATAACATGAGTACGCCAAATGTATGTCTAAGTATATGTACATATTTTATTTTTCTGTGCATATAAAACACTTAAGAAATGTTATCATATTCACTAAAACATCTTACAATGCAGCATTATAATGATGATGATGATTATGTTGTTGCTGTTGTTGTTGTTAGTCGCAAAGTCGTGTCCAACCCATCGCAACCCCATGGACAACATTCCTCCAGGCCTTCCTGTCATCCACCATCCCCCGGAGTCCACTTAAGTTCACACCAACTGCTTCAGTGACTCCATCTAGCCACTTCATCCTCTGCCGTCCCCTTCTTCTTTTGCCATCTATTGTTCCCAGCATTAGACTCTTCTCCAGGGAGTCCATCCTTCTCATTAGGTGGCCAAAGTATTTGAGTTTCATCTTCAGGATCTGGCCTTCTAAAGAGCAGTCAGGGTTGATCTCCTTTAGGACTGACTGGTTTGATGACCTTGCGGTCCAAGGGACTCTCAGGAGTCTCTGCCAGCACCACAATTCAAAGGCCTCAATTCTTCGGCACTTAGCCTTCCTTATGGTCCAACTTTCACAGCCATACATTGCAAATGGGAAAACCATAGCCTTGACTACATGCACTTTTATTGGTAGCGTGATGTCTCTGCTTTTTAGTGTGCTATCTAGATTTGCCATAGCTTTCCTCCCCAGGAGCAAGCGTCTTTTAATTTCTTGGCTGCAGTCCCCATCTGTGGTGATCTTGGAGTCCAGGAAAATAAAATCTGTCACTACCTCCATTTCTTCCACATCTATTTGTCAGGAAGTGAGAGGACCGGATGCCATGATCTTAGTTTTCTTAATGTTGAGTTTCAAGACAACTTTTGCGCTCTCCTCCTTCACCTGCATCAAGAGGCTCTTTAGTTCCTCTTCACTTTCTGCCATGAGAGTGGTATCATCTGCATATCTGAGGCTGTTGATATTTCTTCCAGCAATCTTAATTCCAACTGGTGATTCATCTAGACCTGCCTTTCTCATGATGTGCTCTGCATATAAGTTAAATAGGCAGGGCGACAGTATACAGCCTTGCCGAACTCCTTTCTCAATTTTGAACGAATCAGTGGTTCCGTGTCCAGTTCTCACTGTTGCTTCTTGACCCACATATAGGTTTCTCAAGAGACAAATAAGATGGTCTGGTACTCCCATTTCTTTAAGAACTTGCCACTATTTGTTGTAATCCACACAATCAAAGGCTTTAGCATAGTCAATGAAGCAGAAGTAGATGTTTTTCTGGAACTCCCTAGCTTTCTCCATGATCCAGCGTATGTTGGCAATTTGATCTCTAGTTCCTCTACCTCTTCGAAACCCTGCCTATACTTCTGGTAGTTCTCAGTCCACATACTGCTGGAACCTAGCTTGTAGGATTTTGAGCATAACTTTGCTAGCATGTGAAATGAGTGCAATGGTGCAGTAGTTTGACCATTCTTTGGCATTGCCCTTCTTTGGGATTGGAATGTAAACTGACCTTTTCCAATCCTGTGGCCACTGTTGAGTTTTCCAAATTTGCTGGCATATTGAGTGTAGCACTTTTACTGCATCGTCTTTTAAGATTTTGAATAGCTCAGCTGGAATACTGTCGCCTGCACTAGCTTTGTTGTTGCTCAGACTTCCTAAGGCCCATTTGACTTCACATTTCAGGATGTCTGGCTCGAGGTCAGTGACCATCCCATCGTGGTTATCAGGGAAGTTAAGCTCTTTCTTGTATAGTTCTTCTGTGTAATCTTGCCACCTCTTCTTAATCTCTTCTGCCTCTGTTAGGTCCCTGCCATTTTGGTCCTTTATCATGCCCATCTTTGCATGAAACGTTCCCTTCATATCTCCAGTTTTCTTGAAGAGATCTCCCTAGTCTATTGTTTTCTTCTATTTCTTTGCACTGTTCATTGAAGAAGGCATTCTTATCTCTTCTAGCTATTCTCTGGAATTCTGCATTCAATTGGGTGTATCTTTCTCTTTCTTCCTTGCCTTTCGCTTCTCTTCTTTCCTCAGCTATTTGTAAAGTTTCCTCAGTCATTTGCTTTCTTGCATTTCTTTTTCTTTGGGATGGTTTTAGTTGCTACCTCTTGTACAATGTTGCGACCTCCGTCCATAGTTCTTCAGGCACCCTGTCTATCAGATCTAATTCCTTAAATCTATTTGTCACCTCTACTGTATATTCATCAGGGATAGGATTTAGGTCATACCTGAGTGGCCTAGTGCTTTTCCTTACTTTCTTCAACTTAAGCCTAAATTTTGCAAGTGGAAGCTCATGATCTGAGCCACAGTCAGCTCCCGGTCTAGTTTTTACTGACTGTATAGAGCTTCTCCATCTTTGGTTGCAGAGCACATAGTCAATCTGATTTCTGTATTGACCATCTGGTGATGTCCATGTGATGTCTCTTGGGTTGTTGGAAAAGAGTGTTTGCTATGACCATCGTATTCTCTTGACAAAATTCTACCAGCCTGTGCCCTGCTTCATTTTGTAATCCAAGGCAAACCATTCAACATCACAGTAGTCCCAACCACTGGTGCCGAAGTATATGCCCCAACCACTGGTGCCGAAGAGGCTGAAGTTGACCGGTTCTATGAAGGCTACTCCATTTCTTCTGAGAGATTCTTGCCTGCAGTAGTATACCTGATGGTTATCTGAATTAAATTCACCCATTCCTGTCCAGTTTAGTTCACTGATTCGTAAGATGTCGATGTTCAGTCTTGTCATCTCTCATTTGACCACATCCAGCTTGCCTTGATTCATGGATCTTACATTCCAGGTTCCTATGGAGTACAGATCTTTGCATCATCGGACTCTCCTTTCATCACCAGATACATCTGCGACTGAGTGTCCTTTCGGCTTTGACCCAGTTGCTTCATTCTTTCTGGCACTACTAGTACTATCCCTCTGCTCTTCCCCAGCAGCATATTGGACACCTTCCGACCTGAGGGGCTCATATAAGACAGTAACAGTAAATGGGACTATGCATAGAATTGAATATGGTGATTGATTGTAAAAAAGAATTAAGATGTCAACCCAGTATGTCTGATGTCTTGAATAATTGTTGTTTTAGTGTTGGATTTATAAAGAAAATAATAAAAACTTGACAAAAAACCCCCCAGGAAAGTAACTACAGGTACTGGAGAGAGAGAGAGAGAGAGAGAGAGAGAGAGAGAGAGAGAGAGAGAGAGGGAGAGGAAATTCTGTGTGTATGTGTGTAGGTATACAATATTATAAAAAACAAAACAAAAGAGACAGTTCTTAAAACAGTTTAGAACATTCTTGAGGCAACATTAAGCCTAACATTAAATGGTGGTGGTGGTGGATATGGACCTGGTGCTGGAGAGTCAGGGTGTGATTGTGCTGCTGGAATGGGAGCAGGTAATCACTGGAGTTGCTTTCTTGTAGTTGGCCTCAAGGGTTCTCTGTACAACCATTTTATTTTTTTCACAATGGCCTTGTAGTAGCTGAGGGCCTGGTTACACAGGCAAATGCTACAGAAGAACCAAAGGGGAACTACTTGCCCTGCATATGTCCTGAAACACACTGGTTTGGATATGCTCGAGTCGATGGCCAGAATGAAAAAAATGTGAATACTGTATCTCTAGAGAGCTAGGTTGCCACTGATGATGCTTCACCAAACACATTGCATAGTTCCTATCACATGGTTTTTAGAGATAGCCATGACTATCAATAGCAAATCCCCATCTCTAGCAAAAAGCTGGGAATATCTTTAGAGTACTACATGGCCACTAATGATGTGTTGCCAGATGTGTTGTGTAGTCCCTTAGAGATATTAATATAGGGTTTATGGCAGTCTGTGTGTTTTTAAGTACTAGTTGTTCCTAACCTGGACATTCATAACCTGGGGACTACTTGTATTCCGTTTTGCTTTGGAAGAAGTAAGGATTGTGAATTAAAGCTTCATGTTGATTCAAGAGAATATTTAGACTTTTATTTCAACCCCCTAGAGGTAGTTCAAATTTGTCTTTGCAATGTTTCTTCCAAAACTTAGTGACCTGGTTTGCATAATCACCATGACCTAAATAAATCATGGTATCTTCATTAAGCTGTGTTGTGTGCTAGGGAATACCAGACACTATTGGCCTAATTGTCTGCCAGGGTTCAGTTTGTCATATCATCTAAACTTGGGTGGCATGGTTTGGTGGAGGGGCAAACAACCTTCAAATAACCTAAGAATAGCCCATGGATTATTTGAAGGTTATTTCCCCCTCCTATAAGCCATGCTGCCTGGGTTCAGATGACATGACAAGTAGCACTTGTGGGTAATTAGGTAAAGGGCACCTGGCATATGCTACAACTTAAGTTATTGTGGCATAAGCTCTGGTAATCATGCAAATCAGGCACTAAGTTCTCTTTAAGTTTACAAAAAAGTGTTAGCATTTGCATATTTTAAGGTTTTAAGATTATATGGGAAAAATAACACTTTGAATTGTTTTTTGTCTCATAAAAATAGAAATCTCTTGCTAATTTACAAACTATGGTGCCTGTTGTTGTCTAATGTTATATTCTGAATATTCATTTCATTGAATTCAATATAGTTTTTTGAGATACTGTTGCTCTTTTTCACCTCCAGAACAACTGGCTGGAAAAAATGGAGAAGAAAGTGAGGCAAATCTGTCCTGTTTCTGATCCCGGCACAACATACTTTCTACAAATAGCTTGGCAAGAAGACCTGGGCACTGGCTTTGATATTATACTCAGTGATGGCCAATCAGCTTGGGCTGGAAGAGGTGATATATGATAAATTTCCTTGCAATGTATTAATATATTATTGATTATGATGATTTATAGACAATCTTTCTGTGACTAGTCCACACAATTATTAAGACTCCTCCAGATTCTTCATTGTCATGGCTCAAATTCATAGCAGAATTTTTAGATTTCTGCTGTTTATATATATGGTTGAGCCAGATAGGCAGGACATCTTTGGTATGTATTAGAAATCTGAAATCACTTCAAAAGTTTTGTGATAGTTTACATTTCCATAATATTTTATCCTGTATATCCTGTTAGGCATGCTAATATGGCATTAGTTATTCAGGCTGCAGTACCTTGAAACTATTCATAAATGCACAGGGATCTGAGGAATACCTTTGGTATTTTCTTTAGCTTTTTATCACTGCGTATAACCCAGAGTTGAAAAGACAGTTAAAAAAACGTTGAGTCATTTGCTGTAGGGTGATGTGATAATGAAATGACAAAGTTTATTCTGTGTACAGTTGCACATGAATGGCTTTTCTGGATGTATTGGCTTAGAAAGTAACAGAAGAATGCACTGCTTGTCTACTTGGAATGCAGTGGGACTTCTCAAAACAAGTGGGTTTTGAGAGGTTTTTATCGTATCCTGGAGTTTAGGCTGTAATCTTAAGCAGAATGATATGCACCGAACCCTGTTGATTTCAATATATTTAGATGTGCTTCTTTCCACATAGGATCAGGTTGTTCATATTACTGTAGTTTATTAAGCTGTTCATATTTCTGTTGCTTCAGAAACTCAAGATTCATTGTTTAGGGTACATAAGATGAGCCTTGCTGGTTGAAAGCAGAGGCCTGTCTAGTCCAACATTATGTTCCCATAGTAACCACCTAGATGCCTCTGAGACTCCCACCAGCAGGCTATGAGCACAACTGCACCTTCCCCCTACTGTTCCCAGCAACTGATACAAGATACAGTGATCATGGCTAGTTGACTTTGATAGCCTCCATGAATTTATTTTAGTTGGTGGCCATTATTACATCTTATGGTAGTAAATTCCATAGTATATCTATGTTTGGTACATCACAAAAATAATGAGGGAAGGAATAAAAATAAATGATGTTAAAGCTTCTTCCATTGTCCGCATTCAGAGAAATCATAGAAGATATGATATACCTTTAAAAGCTGAATTGTGACATTAATGTTTTTCAGAGCCATTGATAGGTAAAGTGTGTATGAGTGTGAGGTGATCGCAATGCTCGATATTTTAAATTGCTTTTGTTCTGAATTTTAAATTTTTCCAAATTCACCCCCTGCAGTGCCTGAAGAAGAAATTTCCAAGGAAGCTGATGACATGGAAATGAAACGAGAAAAATATATTGAAGAGTTAAAAAAAGCATTATTGTTCAGAGAAGGACTAACAGATAAATACAATTTTGATATTTCTAAAGAAGGAAGAAATGGAGAGTCCCTTCATTTTTCTTATGAAAAGAATCTGAAGGATGTTTCTGTAAGTATTGCTGCATTAAAGTGCTTTTCTAAGATAGTTCAAGAATAATAGGCCATACAGCTTCAATAATACAGAACACTGCAAAGTCTTTTCTCAAGCTGCAGTTCTGAAGAATTCTGCAATGGACAAGTATCTAAGATATTGTTCAAAATTTTTTTTTAAGGGAAGAAAAAGCTTGTGCCTATAAGCATGTTTTAAACCATCAATATAAATATTTATTTAGCTTTTTGATTCCAAAACTTTTGTAGAGTTTTTTTTTTTAAAGATAAGCGCTAATGAGTACTTTGTTATTGTTTGAAGCCTGAAGAATGGGAAAGGCAACTGAGATATAATTAATATTTTGAGAATGGTTAATAGTTTTTTGGTTTTGAGAATGGTTAAAGTATAATACTCCTTGTAGGAATTTAATTGGAAAGAAGTTAATCTAAGGCACAGTTCTATGCAAGTTTAGACAGAAAAGCAGCCTCTATCTCTATCTCCAGCCATGAAACATTGATATGAAACAATTTGCTTGAAAGTGAATATACACAAAATTGGCTGAATGTACGCAGAAATATTTATCGCATGAGGTAAACAATGGGTTACCATGATATTTAATGGGTTGCAGATTGGTGGTATATTTGTCCTTGGAATGTTATTAGAACCCCCCCACCCCTTTATCTTTAACTGAAGTTCAAGCTACACATAATTTTAGTCACATGTACTTTTTGTAAAGCTATCATCTGTCTGACTGCAGCTACCCAGGCAACAATCTCCAATGAGACACCAGTGTTTGTGTCATCTTAATCCTTTCTCTCTGCCACTTTCAAATTTCCCACACCTTCAGATGCTTTCTATCTTGTGTGGGAAAAGATACAACATCACATTCTATTTGAGGGAAATATTCATTTATTTCTAGGCATTAATCCCATCACATTTTATTTGAGGGAAATATTCATTTATTTTTAGGCATTAGACGAATCCCTAATAAAAATGCTTTGGGCAGGGACAGTGGAGAAATAGAAGGAAATTGACTCTGTAGTATGTGGTGTTGTGCCTGCAATACAGTTATTAGAAATGCGGCTCTAGACTCAACAGGCACTGTGTTGCAGCTTGAATTGTTTTGCTGGCATTAAATACCCTTCTCTGGCACTGGAATGACTGGAGCTATCTCCTATCCTGCAAGCAGTAGAGTGGCCTTCTGTGGATGCCTCATTATTTTGATCCCATTCAAAAAGCATTTTTGCATTTGTAGTTCAGTTAGTTATACTGTTCAGAAGGTGTTTTGTGAGGCAAGTAGGGCAGAGCTGGAACATTGTACCATGAAAACTGCAGTAACTAATTAGGATCAGGCAGGCAAATTTAAACGACACATCACTGGAAATAAGTACTGTTGAAATCTTAGTGACCCAAGCTTCCAAGTAAATGTGTTTAAGAATGAGATAGCTAATATGTGTTTATAAATTGTGTATCCTAATGTCTGTGTGTTTTATGTTTGGGCTAACCTAGTGATTTGTTCAGTGTCCCTCAGTGAGCATCATAGGTGAGTGGGAACCCAGGAAATTTAGATGTGATTGGTGAAGCTGACAGTCCTGTGTACTGTGACAGTAACTAGGGCTTTTATTTTTGCTTTCAAAGTGTTCATTTTCTTCTTAATAAGCATTCCTAAAGATACTAACAGATTGTTAAAAATTAATTTGATAAAAATGTGGTTAATAAATTAAATGGTATAAATTTCATTCCTTTCCCATTCAAGATTCTGTGGTATATAATGTGATACTTACCTCCTTAAGCCTTTAGTTGAAATTTTCAAGGAAACTCAATTAATTTTATCTGTCAAACATATCCACAACTGAAGCATATAACCCAAAGAAAGTAGAGGTTAAAACGATGGAAAGGAAAATATGGGTTGATAGCTGGAGAATGTGTTCATTTGACAAAATTTGTATGTCTTAGGAAATATTTACTGAAGGAAACAGCAGTAATGTACTTTGTTGAGTCATTCTACTGTAACTAGACAAAGCACTGGAAAATTTACTCCACAGAACAGTTCTTTATTGGCAGCAAAATATGCTTCATGACCTAATTAGGTATTTTGCATCCCAGAAATTTAGAATGTTGTGATTGTTAGCCCACATGTTGGGCAAACATAAAAACACCTTTGGGCAACAATGTTGTAACCAAAGTATGATTTACACACACAAATTGACAAATTAAGATAATTCTTATAAAATGTTTGACAGTGTTGATTTCAACATTGGGCTGAGGTTTGCAGTCATATGGGACATTAAACTAATAACACTTCTTACTGTTTTTTCTCTTCTGAAAATGTCAGTATTCAGTAACTTCAATTCATCAGATTAACAACTACAATCCCCCTCTTGAATGCGCACCTTAATATAGTGAAGGGGTTTGAGAGTGCCAGAGAATCTGAGAGCAAATCCAGTAAGAGACCAGATGGCAGGAGTCCAGAGTCCATTCTATTCAAGATAGAATGGTCAAAGCAGAAACACCAGACTGAGATGCATGCACCCTTTTCAGTTATAAAGGTCACATCTGCAGAATAGAATGGATATCACTGACAGTGATGGGTGCAGATAAGCTTCTAAAGTGCAGCTACTGGGCAACAGTAGTCATTAAAGACAACACTGGTGGAGGGTCTTTCACACACAACAGCAGTGACATGCAAGCTAACTCTGGTTAGTATTGTGCACAAGAAGGCAATGGTAAACCCCTTCAGAATATTCTTTCCTTGAAAACCCTACGATGGACCAATCCAAAATGAAAGAAGAGATTGTGCCAAAATATGAGATCCCCAGATTCAAAGGCACTCAACCAGCTACTGGAAGAGGGCAAAAGGCAAGTACATGCCAAGCGAAAGTCTAGTGGCTATCATGTACAGAAGCAAAAGGAAATCTAAAGCTGCACAACACATACAGTTTGAACATGGAACATGAAAAGTGTGAATCAAGGCAAACTGGAAACCATGAAGCAAGAAATGGAATGGTTAAACATCACAGTAGTTGGTCCAAGTGAACTAAAGTGAACTGGATGAGACATAAAGTGTTTAATTCTGGAAATGACAAACTCAAAAGAAATAGAGTGGCTCCAGTACTGAGGCAAGATGTAGCTCAGACAGCAAGGGGCTATAATGCAAATCTGAACAAATCTTTATCAATCAGAACTCTTGGAAAACCTATCAACATAACCATTATTTGAGTCTATGCTTTAACAACATATGGTTAAGAAGAAGAAATAAAAAAGCATGTATGCAGGTGTTCAAGAGAAAAGTGTTAACACATGAGAACAAGACATGCTGATCATCATAGGTTACTGGAACACAAAAGCAGGGGAAAAAAGGAGAATCCAATGTTGTGAGAAAATTTGGCCTAAAGGTCAGAAAGGAAACTGGAGAATGACTCATGGAATCCTGTAAAGCCACCAATCTGTTTATCACAAATACATACTTAAAGCAACTGACCAAATCACAGAATATATGGACATCACTAGATGGCCAATACAGAAATCAACTTGACTATGTAAATGGATACAAGTGATGGGGAAGCTGTAGTTTTGCTGCCAAAACAAGACCAGGAACAGTTTGCAGTAGTGCCCATGAACTCCGAATATCAAAAATCAGAGTAAAGCTAAAAAAAGATCATCCCCAAGAAAGAAAATGTAAAGTAGTGCAACAACGACAGGACCAATGCACTGCTTTCCCATGCAGGCAACATGACGCGCAAGGTGTTGCCACAAAGAATTTACCCTATATGGCATGAGGAATGTGTGACATTCAACTTGGATTTTGAAGATGCACTTGTTACTATATTGCAAGTGGATGTTGGCTACTGGAGCACACCAACGAATTTCAGAAGGTGATCAGTCTTTGTTTTATAGACTACAGCATACCTTTGACTGTGTGGTTCATAAGAAGCTATGGATGGTCCTGAAATAAATGGACGTGCCTCAGCACTTGGTCATCCTGATACATAGCCTAGATCATGGACCAAGCTACTACTATTAGGACAGAATATGGAGAAACAAAGGCATTGGACAAGTGTGTTTTATATCTCCATATCTTTTCATTCTGTGTGCAGTATGAGTTATTGGGAAAGCTGAATTAGGATCAGAAGAAGGAGGAGTGAAAATTGGCAGAAGACACATCAATAATTTAAGATAGGCAGGTGATACCATACTACTGATGGAAAGCAGCAATTAATTGAAATGATGCCTAATGGAAGTGAAGAAAATGGCAGAGTAGGACTGCAGATGAACATTAGGAAAACAATCATGACTAGATGAGAATTACACAACTTTAATGAAGTGATTGAAATTGTGAAAGATTTTACATACCTTAGCTCAAACATCAACTCTAATGGAGCCAAGAAGTTCAAAGAAGACAGAAACTTGGAAGGCCAGCAGTGAAGGAACTAGGAAAGATCATCAGGTGTAATGGCACTGACAACCAAGGCTGAGATAATCCACATATTGTATTCCTAATTGCTATGCATGGCTGTAGAAGTTGGGAGAGTGAAGAAAACTGATAAAAATTAAATGGATGCATTCAAAACATGGTGAGGAGAGCTTTGTGTATACCCTGGTCTGACAGAAAGACGAACAAGTGAGTCCTCTGTCAAATCAAGCTAGAACTTTTCCTGGAAGCGAACATGATGAAACTCAAGCTGTCATTGTTTCAGAGAATGGGAAGGCAAGACTTCCTGGAGAAGACACTTATACTAGGGAAAGTTGAAGGTAGAAAAAAAGAAGAGGAAGACCAACTATGACATGGATTGACTTCATAAAGGAAGCCATAGACTTGAATTTTCAAGAGCTGAGTTATGCTGTCAAGGTCATTTTAGAAGGCATGTATTCATAGGTTTGCCATAAGTCAGAGATGAGTTAATGGCGCATAACTACAGCAACAAAACAACTAAGATAATTTTAAAAGGAAAGCTGCCTAAGGTGGAAGTTATTCAACATATATTACATTATGTATTGCAATGTTCAGCAAGAAACTTCAT